GCAAAGTTCTATTTAACCGCAGGTCTAATCTTTCTTAGTGGTTAAATCTCTGAGCCACCAAAACCATCTGTTTCATTAAGTCCAAAACATTATAAAATAATTCTAACTAGTTATTGAGTGTTTGATTGGATCCACAAAAGCAGGCAAACTGCAGCCTGAGGGCCCGTCCAGCCCACCTCTGTTTCTGTAAATAAAGCTTTATTGGAATACCATCATGTTCATGCATGTGTATACTGTCAGTGTTTGCTTTTGAGCCTCAATGGCAGACCCTGTAACAGGTTACATGGCCCAGAAAGCCTTAAATACTTACTATGCAACCCATCACAGGGTTAGGCTGTTCCCCTTGCCAGGTGGTCTCTTTGGTTATCTTCTATTTCTCCATTATGGACTAGTCCGAGCCTTTATGAGTTATTCTTATTTCCCAAGTTTCAGTGAAAGCTGCCTCTGTTTAGAGAACCCTCAGTGTGTAGCCTGGAATGCAGAGTTTGCACTTTTAAAACATAAACACTTTGTCTCAGTATAATTTTAGTACTTCTGGAACTCCCTAGGAAATGAAAACACCAAGAAGCTCCTCTGACAAAATTTAGCTCACGATGAGAACACATAGCTTTGCAAGTCAAGTGGTCTCCCCTTTTGGGAAGCCAAACTTCTACCAATAACATTAAGAGAAAATTGCTATGCTTGCTTTGCTCCTTTATGTGAGATAACCTATCGCTTACAATGGATAATAGTAACATAGAAGCCCAGTTCCGCTGAAGAGTTCAAAGGTTATTAAGTGAATTAATCTGGAAGTTGACATCTCCACAGAAATAACCAACATAAAGATATTACTCTTTCTATAGGTTTACCATCTTTCATATTTAAAAGTGGTTGGAGAAATATTTTGTTGGAGAAATATAAATAACAACATTTGGAATAAAACAAATTTGTATCAGTAATATACATTTTGTACAGTTGAGTATTATGCAGTTTTTCCAGAATCTTACCTTTTTAAACATCAAATGAATATTCATTGTGTCCCTTGATCATATTTCTAAGTACCTCTGCCTCACTAGAGGAAGAAAAGTAAAAAAGTCTCAATTTGCAACTTGAGAATGGTTTGAGGGAATTTTTTGAGTCATCTTACAGATGAAGAAGAAAGAATAGTTCAGTGAGTAGGGTCTCTTGGAAGCCATTTTTTCTCCTTGAATGGGGCAGCGTTCACTGGAGCCCTGTTCGAGAACTGTGTACGCCACAGAGAGTGCTCAAGGGTAAAAGGTGGAGTGATTCTGATACTCACTAAGTGCCTCTCATGCCAGGCACTGCTCAACAGGCTCTGCCCAGCTCAACTCGCCTGATCTTAAAACTGAGAGAGTAAGCTAAACAGCCAATAGGTTGCAAAGGGAGAATTGGAATTCAGGTGCCCTAACTTCAGAGCTCGCTTCAGGGTGTGCTTTTAAAGGGGCCCTGCTGCACGGCCGAATGGCTCAAAGTGCTGTCTCTAAGGGACAAGGAGCGTAGGCAGCTGTGGTTCCGGGCTGACAGTACTGTGTGAACAGAAGCTCAGGATGAAACGACCGGAACTGGTGATCTGAAGGAAATCCAGTTGTACTTCATGGGTATTGATCAGTGGCTCTAAAGCATATCAGACAGTTCCCTTCTGTGTGCTTACTGCTTGATTTTCTAGCAGTTCTGGATATACTTACTGCAGGCTTGTGTCTGATGTAAGGAGCCAAGCATGTGAAGAAAAGCAGAACAGGTAAGAATGGCCGAGAGGGAAAGAGAGGCATGTGTGCAGGCAGGACAATGATGTCTTTGTAGACATGATATTTCCAAACGGCATGGTTCTTTTCAAAGCTTTGCTCTATCACTTGAGTTACAGGTCATAGGGAAAGAACCTCTCAATGGGGATTTTGTTCAGGTTCACCTATTCTTTTGCCCAATCAAGTCATAACTATTTACTTCAATAGTTATTTACTTAAGTGCTGGTACAAGGATCCCATGTCTGGGAAGTCCTGATTCCCTCAGTCAGCAAAACAATGTAGAACAAAAGGCATTTAAGTGAACTTGATCAGTTCTATTTACTAGCTTTACTTACCACCCAGTATAAATAAGCAACGTTTTGTCCCCTGCTTTATAAACTATTTGTCACCTCAGAGTTATCCTAAGTGTCAGACATCTCCCTGACCCACCCCTTCTGGTACCCCAGAGTTTCCTAAGATCCAACCCTACGATGGTAACCTTAATCCTGTTTCACAGTGTTAAGCATGTGAGCACAGGGTGGTGGCTGTTTGGAAGGGCAGCCCCAGCACTACTAAGTAATAGGTGGTATCATCCCTCTCCCTGTCCTTATGGTTAGTGGGAAGGTCTTTCTGGCACTTCTTTTCATTCCTGAGTCAACCTCCTCACCAGTCCATAAAGCCTTTCCTTTTGGACTGGACAAGCTTCCCTGGGCACATCTTTCCTTCTTCATAGCTCCTTTGGTTTCCAACACCCCCCAATCAAAGGAGAAACAATGCACGATGTCCACATTTTATCCAAAGAAAAACAGCTCTAGTTGTCTTTCAACATGTTTAATCCCTGACATAATGAAAACAGTTAAAGAATGAAAAGCAGGGGACATTCGGTCATATAGAATAGTTTTCTTTCTAGACTATGGAGGACTCTGGTAGTAGGATGGACAAGGAATAATCCAAGAATGAGAAATGAGAGTTCCCAGTGGAAAGTAGCCATTCTGGTTTATTTGTGGTAACAATCAACTTTTAATTTCAACCTTGTTAAATACTATTAACATCATACTTTTCTCCAAATTGAAAGAAAAACAGAAACTTAGAGGGAAAAACAACCATTTCTTTCTACTGAGAATCACATATTTTTAAACTACTAGTGGCAAAACATCACTTTAATTGTTCATCCACCTCATCCTGCATGAGATGCAATTGTAATTTTGATTTCATAAGTGAGGACAACTGAAGAATAGAAGTCATACTTTTTGGGGTCAGAGTGGGGACTTAGGCTTTTGGACATACAGCTGGTAGACCTCAGCTTAAGAAAAAAATATTAGCAGCTTCTACATGCCTGACACTGCCTTTTTACAACGTCAGGGCGCATTTATCTTTTTATCAACAATTGTAATGGTGGAAAACAAAACTTGGGGAACAAGAATAAGAGGGTCTGCTACTTAACATAACTCTGAAGTTCTGAATCCTTGATTTTATCTTCTATAAAATGAAAATGGCAATACCTGCTTCACACTTTCAAGGATTATATGAAATAATAAACATGCAAGTGTTTTTTATGGAGTTCTAGCCGCTATTAGATGCTATTACCCCCAAAGATATAATTATCAAAGGTATGATGGCTGTCTTTGTTAATATTAATACATCTGGGAATAATATTTTAAAATTCTATCAGTTTGATTTCAGTAATAGTATTAGAAATATCTGCTTTACCTGTTTTGACCATGTTCTTGAATGTATGTATTATTTTAATATTAAAATCCACAGTCTAAACACCAATCTTGAAATACTTATTTTTAGTCATTTTCTTTGTCAAAAAATAATAGCAAATAATTTCTTGCAGAAGGCAATAAGTAGGACTATTTACTCACAGTGATTGTAATTTTTGTATTTGCCTTCTTAATACATAACAGATGTGGGAAGACATGGATTTGTCCCACCCCGCCCCCCAATGCTCAGTGCAGCATATGGCATCGAATCAGGTTACATTCTATATGTGACACTGTAAAAAATACTTGTGTTCATGAAGAGAATCCAAGTTTGCTGTTATTTTAATTTACTACTTTATTTGACATGCGTCTAACACTTTGTTGCTATTTGGCTAGGAAGATTAAAATCCTGAAGATGGACATAATTTTACACAGAAATTTTAAATTAACTTTATAGATCTCAAGGTTACTGACAAGGATGCATATATATTAAAATTTTAGTGGCTTTGAAAGTTGGTGCCTGCAAGAAAAGCCCTATAGAGAGGCACCTATGAGATGTACTTATCTTATGGCAATTACAGAGTAGAAATGACTGCTGTCGGATTAGAAATGTGACCATCACGATAAAAATCCTATCACCTCCCAAAAGGTCCTGCACATAATTTATTAATAAAGATTATAACTGTCAAACTGTAAAATCAAATGTACTTCATTTATGGACCTTATAATCTTTAAAATAAGTGACAGAGTCTCATGTAGATGAGCAAAATCTAGCATTGCCTGCATTTATCATTAAAATGGAAGGTAGCAGAGAACAAACAAAAAAACCCACTGCTGAATCTAAGGATCTGGTCCTCTTTTGCATATAAATATCCTAATTGTATGTGTATTGAGCACAAATTGGGTCAAATCTCTATGCAAAAATTATATCCCCCCCCCAAAAAAAGAAACAAGGGCTGGAAACATCTGTGACTTTCATTTTACACCAAAATATTTCATCACATAAAATCCACCACAGTCTGCTTTGGAAGAGTTGATGACATTTTGTGGATTTGAGAAACCAATTCCTTTCAGTCTCCTGCAGTTAATTTTTGCCCTTCTTTCCATAGTTAATATGTAAAAAGGCATGAGAAAAATAGGACAATGCAGAAGCACAACTTCCCAGTCCTCAGTGCCTGAAGCTCAAGTTGGGCATACATCTCCCGATGAGAGATCCTGGGATAGTTAGTATTTCCCTGTGGCGCTTCACTACTATCCCTGACACCCAAGTTCACCTTTTCAAGGCTACAACAACAGCATCTAGAGAGAGATGCTCCTGCCTTAGTCATCTGAGGATAAAGCCGAAAGGGCAGATGGCGGGATTATCTGGAAGCAAACACAGGGCCGCACAAAAAACTGCTGTCCTCACACAGGCAAATATGGGAACTCTTTTTTTTCTACAGTTAAGGAAATTGTTGGGGGTTGGAGTCAGTCAGAAGGCAAGCATGTTCTCTTACTTCCAAAATTGAATTTAGATGAATTATTATTTACCATTTTAGCAAACGTGTTGAGGAATAAATTTCATTCTTGCTTGATCGTCCTTATAGAAGAAAACAGCACAATTAAAGCTCGGTAAGTGTTTTATTTTCAGCATAGTATAGCTAGAAATTTGGTTCTACTAATACCAAACATGAAAATGGAAGGGAATGAGACTTTCCAATGATTGGCACAGGCTCTAAAGAATCCCACTGAAGGAAGGAGACAAAAGCATCATTTGTTCCCCATGGTCCTTGGGGATGGCACTTGAGCGACAAGAAGGGGCATTTGTCTCAAAAGTCAGAGTAGCCTCTCTCCTGACAACCATAATTCCTTCTATTATATATATTTTACTAAGCATTAAACGGCACCAATCCAAATGATAAAATACAGCCCAGTGCATAAGCCTGAATCCAGTCCGGCTGAGTGTGCATGCGCGGACACGCACACAGGAACCTTGCACATTTTACCATCCTGCGAACTACAGCACTTTATAGAGCTACATACCTTTTTAAAATAACACTCTGGTGTACATACATACATACTTCCTTTTCTTGGTCCATGCAGCAAGTCATTTTTAAACAAAGGAAAAAAAAGACTCATGCCAACGGGTTTATTTAAAATTAAACAGTGTTGTGTAGGTAACGGCAGATGTCTAGCTGTGATTTACTTCCCTAATGCTGACTAATATATGTATTCATAAACAAATCAAGGGTATTGCCAAAAGATAAATGCTGCTGTTAACACCCCACCAGCTACTGGTTTCAGTTGTGCTTCTCAATCAGGCAAAATGTTCTTTCCCTTACTCCTCACACTATTTATTTTGCTTCCTGCCAATCTTGCAAATCATTCATCTTGTGTGTCTTTTGCTCATAAATGCTTCCTGGTGCTTGATTGCTTTGCCTATGTGGCATTTGATTTCAAACTGCTATTTTACCTTCATAAACATGTAGGACTTTCTAAGCATAAGGAGAATGCCCAAAAGGCATGTGAAAATGAGGCTGTAATTAGATCAGCGGAGTATATTGTACAGCTTATTTAGCTTTCTCTCTTTGTATCCAATATTGCATTCCCAATCTGAGTGCAGAGCGGCAAATTAACATTTACTCCAGCAGAGAGGCCCTGGTATCAACATGTTTAATTTATTATTATTGCAAAGAACAGTTTTCCCGTGATTAGTGAAACAGAATACATATAATATATTTAAGGATCTGCACCCAGACCACAATAAAGGGAGTGAGGGGAGGAAAGAGAAAAGCAGAACACAAAAGAGAAAATAGAAATAATATCAGCTACCACGTGAGCTTTGTGGTAAAAAATAGAGTATGACGTGCAATAGTGCAATTTTCCTTTGCTAGTCCAGCAATACAAGTCTTAACAGGAAGTCCACTAATGTTCTTTCTTCATTTCAGGATTTAGTTGCGTGCTTGCCGGGGGTTCGAGTTCCTGCCAGACTTCTGACTCTGTGTAGAATCACTATGGCTAGAATCACTTTTGTTCAGTCCAAGGTGACGTAGCTTCATATCCCAGCGCTGCGAAATTTAAAACAGAAAATGGTCAGAGGCACATATCACCAGGGTCATCATTTCCATTATTCTAACAACTGACTGAGACAGCAATGTTAGATCTCAAAGACACTCTACTACTTTCCAAACGTATAAACTCTATATCCCAGAATAATGATGAAATTGATGCTATAGGAGCATAATTCACTGGCCACCTATATCAATAATGCTTTCATAGCAAACCTTAAACTTAAACTTAAAATTTCCATGTCAGTACATGGTGACACAAATATCTACTGCTACCTGAAAGTATTTCCTGAGATAACAAACACAGTCTGGCACTGCACAGGTGGTCAACGAATGGAAAACTTAGAGAGTTTGAAGGAAGAGCTATTTTTCATCTTCCTCTCTTACAACATGTAAGAACATAGCCTTTTTAAATCTATGGGATGATTTGAGCAATGAAAAAATGAAAATTTGGGGAGGAAACAGGGCCTCTTAAAAATAGTTTCCTAAGTAATATCTACCAAGGGCAATGAACAGAACATACAAGTTTCTGCCCTCGTTCTAAGTTTTACAAAGCAGACATTACCAATGTTTTTAACTACCACAATCAAGTTTACTAATATTTCATATTAACAATACCAATAATGTTTACATGTGATATAATACATTAAAAGGGAGTTATATTATGGATGTTAGAAGTAGTGAATAAGAAGAAAGATTACACCAGTACTTTTCAAATTTCAGTGAATATAGAAATAACCTGTAGATCTGGTTAAACTGCAGATTCTCATTCAGTGGGCCTAGAATGGGGTCCATGATTTTCATATTTAGCAAACTCCCAGGTGATGCCAATGTTGCTGGTCAAGGACCACATTTTGAGTAGCATGGTGATACTATCAGATTGCCGAAGTTCAAATTCTAATTCCATCGGTACTACACAGCATTTTCACCACCAACACTTTGGAATTAATAATAGAATCTGCTTATAAGACTGTTCTAAAGATTGACTGATGGAAAATGAATAAAGTGCTTACTACATAGTAAATTATCATTTGTCAATTATCAAAAATAATTCTTCATTTTAGCATGCTTTATGCCACAATCTTACTGTTTTTCCTACTTAAAAGTCTTATTTGCAACTTCCCAAGGCAAGCCAAATATCTCAGTTTGAACAACCTGCTATTACAGAGACCTAAGTAAGCAATTATTTGCATGGTAAAACCATAAAAAGATCTTTATTTCATTGTTAATCCATCCACTAAAAGCAAAACAAAAAAAAATCAGTTTAAAGGACCGCACATTGAAAAAAACAAACCAACAGAGTCCTCCATAAAACTATATTTTCCATTCTCAAATTGTCTGGAAAACTAAAGATCTCAATAATTCTAATCAAAAGAGATTTTCTCCCCAAGGTCTTTAGTCCTAAGTATCTGCATATGAATTAAAAATTGTTCAAGTTATTGATTTAATTCTTCTTTTAGCATGTTTAAATCTAAACTAAGGATATAAATAATTGCACAATAATAACTCTGTTTGAGTCTCCTACAGAAAGCATAGAAAATATGTTGCCTTACTAAGGAACAGGAGAAACAAGCCATGTGTCCTGGGGGATAATGATAATAATTGTTTTGGTACCGAAAGAGGAGACTTATTACATGCTTTGGAGCAGGGATGTTAAAAGCTCTTCCAACTGGTACAGGAATTTAGGACACATTCCTGTTCTGCATTAGCAAGCAGAAAACCAAATTAAAAGCACAGTAAGGAATTCCAAATTCTGAAGAAGAGCCACTTTTTAATAAACACCAAACTAATTGAAAAGAGATACAAATAGAGAACTCTCAGAAGTCTAAACCTGAAATACATTTCACTTTTGATAAGTGTCCTGGAGGGAGAGGGATGAAGAGCTTACAGGAGGGCAGTGTTTTCCCTGTAAAATAATGCCCTCTACATTTTCATAGGTCACTTGAATTCAAATGTGTCTGCTGCGTCGAGTGCCAGATATATAAGATAAACTGCCCAGAGGTGTTGAACTTACCCTGTAAATGTTTCCCAACCCTTCACACTCACAGAAGGAAGAGGATGTATTATGTCTGTTACAATTCCACTCTCTCCTCTTCCCCACCCCCCACCCATTACACACACACCCTTTTCGAGCCTTTGCCCCTCTCTGCATACTCTCCCCAATTCCTTTCTTTGAAACTGATTTGTTTAGCATAGTAAGAAGAAATAGAATCTTCTCTCAAAAAGGTAATTTACAGTGAATTTTTTCAAAATGCATCACTTCCAAAATTTAAGAGTCACTGGCTTAAAAATAAAGCTACGTTAATGCCCTAAGGTGCTCATAGACAGATGGCTGTGCCTGCACCTCGTACATAGGATTTAATGTCTATGCATTGGGACAATATTGGTAGTTTTCTACCCGTTCTTTTTTCTTTTTTTTCTGTGACTCACAGAACTGCAATTTGTTCAAGGAAACAATATGCTCAGTTTAAAAAAAGAAAAAAAGAAAACTACATTTCCCAGCCTCTCTTGCAGTTAGGGATGGACGTAAGACCAAGTCATATGTAAAAGTTGTTAGATGGGGCACTTGGAAACACCTTTTTTATCTCTCTCTCTTTTTTTTTCTCCCTAAAGTGTAGGTGTGACGCCGGAGGTGGGGCAGCCATCTTGTGACCTCCAGGTGAGTATGAGTGTGGAAGCAATGCCCTTAAAAATGGCAGAGCAGTCAGCTGGAAGCTCTCCCAATAATGCGCAGTCAACCTATAAGGACCGCGCTAACTACAGCTAGAATTCTCATTGTGGGAAGTTAGGTGACTTTAGCTAGATCTCTAATACACATACAGAGAACTTCCTAGGTGAAATTGATACTAAAAACAAGCTCAGTACTTGGAATTTTAAATATGCATACACATATATATAATACATATACATGCGCACTTGTGTGTGTATCTCAGGTTTTAATACTTCTCATGTAGTTGAGAGCAGCTATTATATTTAAATGACAAATAACTGGTTTTCTACTTTTATTTTCTGTATTTCACATTAAACATAAAATAAAGGCTTACCTTAACTTTTTTACCAAGTCGATCCTTCCATTTTTCAGCAATAGAACCTTCTACCAACAGTAATCTGCAATTTTTAAGAAGCATTTTTGAAAAATTAAAACATTACTGAAAAATACAAGGAATCATTGCAAAGACCACTTACCTGTTTATTCTAGAATAGAATGACCAACTTTTAGAACAGTAACTCTTAACTATTTGGGAGTCATAGACCCCTTTAAGAACAAATGAAGTTGTGACTCCTCCCCTCAGAAAAATACACACCCACAAATTGTACATGTATACTTTCTATCCAATACATGCAATCGAGGGTCCCCCAGAAGGTAGACAACCTCCAAGAACCCCAGAGTAAGATCTCTAAAGAAGTGCAGTTAAGAACAGGACAGGTATAGAAATTATTCCAAATCCTTAAGGAGTGAATTACCTGGAGCGTTCCTCGTCTTCATAGCCCATGATGATATACTCCTCGTTAACATTAAGTGGAGGACACAGGCAGCCAGAGCTGGTATACAGGTTAACGGTGTCTCTTGGAATGTTTACCAGAGAGGACTTTAGAATCTCCTTCACCTCAACTACAGCAGTCACATCATGGCATTTGGTCTTTATCTCTTTAATTTTAGCCCGAATGACTGGATAAAAGACAATAAAGCTGATATAGTAATGTGATACAAAATAGGTGCCACATTCAAAAAAGAAAAGTGAGCTTGTTGCCAGTCAATTCTTCTCTGCTTGATGCTCGAAGGAGAGGGAAAGTCAGCCAGATATTTTCGTCTTAGATGGCAATGAGTGACCCACTATATAACACACCTGTCCCCTTAACATTCAGCCCCAATTCCCTTCTATTTTGGGTGCACATATGTGTATTTTCATGTGCACATACGTATGTATGTATTCCATTGAGAGAAATTCATTTAGATAATCAAAGGTTGGGTGTCATTTTCCTCCAAAATTTCATTCTGTTGTTTTTTTAAAAGATTTTATTTATTTATTTTTAGATAGGGGAAGGAAGGGAGAGAGGGAGAGAAACATCAGTGTGCTGCTGCCTCTCACACACCCACTACTGACTTGGCCCACAACCCAGGCATGTGCCCTAGACTGGGAATCAAACCTGCGACCCTTCAAATTTCATTTTGGGATGTGTATATGTATGTCTGCAGTCTCAACTGCTGCCAACAGGAATTTAAATTTTGTTAATTTCATTATATGTAAAGCTCTGGTACTTTGTTTTCTTATCAATATTTTTTTAATCAGGACTACTAATAGATTTTCTAAAGAGTTGGCAGTCTCTTTAGTGTTATAAAGTTACCTTGTTCTACTGTGTCTCCAAACTGGTTCTGCAATCTTTTCACCTTCCTCCTTTTAGCTTACTGTTTATAGATACCTGCTCTTTTTCTCCTTGGTTTCAGTACAGATTTTGTTTTCACTCTCCTGTAGGTATTCTACATTTCTTTTTGAGTAAAAATGGTTACTGTGAGACCTTGTTTCCTCCATCTGCTTTCAAGCCAGTCACCAGCGTTCCTTTCCCTCACGTGCTACGGAATACAGTCTAACATGTCGATGGCGCGACTCTGCCTCTCCCAATGGATATACGCACACCCAGGAGGTCTCACAAGTGGTGGCTTCACTTTCAGATTTAAAGACAAACGGCCCTAAAAATAATCGATTCAGTTACAAAGTTGAAGTTTTGACTCATAAGTTAGCAAGTACAACTCTGCTTCTTTCCTGTTTCTCTACTTTGGAGGGGCTCAATTCTTTAGATTCCTACTTCTGGTATACAAGCTTTTTTTTTTTAAGGGGGAGTTTGAAAAAGCTTATGAAGTAACAAATGTCAATTTGTAAGAAACCAATGGCTTTTTCCCAGGCATCCTTATTGCTCCAGTTAAGTAGCCATGGATGTTATACAGAGAAAAACATGACATATCCAAATGAATCCACTTTTTGAAAGCCTCTTAAGCACGTAGCAGCAAACCACTTTCATCTGAGCCCCTTCCCACATATTTTAAGCATTTGGGGCTCTAAAAGAATGGAAAAAAGTAATCCAGGAAAATACAAAGCCAGCTACTAAGCCCCATCAATGCCCCAATTCCATACAGAAACTTGTTTAATAACATCCCACCAGTACAACATACACTAGAAATTAAGTTACTAAATCTAAAAACTTTAAAATTAAAGCCTCATTTTTGCTTCACTGGTATTTTAATTTTCAGAAAATTTGGTGTCTCAAGTATGAGAACTTAGAGCGAGCAAAACTCAACTGCCCAGCTGTCCCTGCTTGGTGTGATTTGTGAGCAAAGGAACCCCTTTCTATCCGTGTTCTCTCTATTCTGTATTTTAACAAAAGATAAGATTTCCCTTTTGAAATGTTATTTGGGAGAATCAGATGATAAATTCACAGCCCCAGCTAGCAGACATTTTTTTGTGTCCTGGTTTATGTGAATGTGCTTCATAGCATCCATCAACTATTAGAGATTAGTGAACTGTGCAAATGTTCTCAAACTAATGATTTATTTACCCAGTATGGCTACTATTTTCATTAGAAATTTTTAGCACATGTACCCACTCCAAAATAAATATCTCTCCACAAGACTTACTTTATTATTCAAGTAATTTTGTTAAAGCTCAAGAGATTTTGCTTGAATTAATTCTGAATGAAGTAGAGGTTTTGTCTGAATTATCAATTGCTTTCACCCCCACTTTGTTTTCACAGTAGACATGTAGATATTTAAGAAAAATAAAAATCAACATATTTTGGAATTTAAAATTTTTTTTCAGAGTTTTTTTCTTCTACTTCATCATTGGAGTGCCTGTCTTCCCCAAAGAAGTTCTAAGTAAGCTCCAGACAAGTAAAAATCCTTAAACTGTAAGCAACCTGGTTACTATTGTTTGGCTGAGAAAGAAATTATCTTCTTTCATTAATTGTCATCTGTATCTTATAATATTTATTCATCTATCTTGTTGAAGCCATTCTTTCTATGACTTGTAACCGCAAGTATTTTGACTTTTAACAAAAGTAACAGCGCCAGCCACTGAAGCACTAAGAAAGCTGGAAAAAGTAAAAATTGATTAAGTAAAATAAATACAAATTCAATGGAATTTCCCTGATACAACATTTTTATTATGACTTTGTTTTTTATATAATTGCACTTAAAAGTTCAAATATCATTTTTCAATCTCCTAAAAATTAAGAACTCCCTCTTCATGTGACTTTTCATACCTGACCTTTCAACCTTGGAAGTATATCCACCATCAGCTAAGAGAAACTAGATTCCTCTTACGGTGAGTAGTAAGCAAAAAGTAAAAAAATTGAATCCATTGAAGAAACACTTGGGAAACTATTCGCATTTGTTTTAAAGACATGTACCAACTTTGAGAATTTTCTACTTTATACCTTTTAATACCTTTGAACACAGTATGTTCAAAGACATTAAAGATTACTATTACTGAGTTTTACTCATTTATATCCTTCTGATTCCCATAAGTATGAAAGTAGAAATAAATCTGCTATATATGTCCTATAGCCTCTAAAATAGGGCACCATAAATTCAATAGCAAAGCTTTATTTTAATAATAAAGTTCCCTTCAAAAATCTATTTAATTGCCATGTTTTTTCATTGACTCAGCATCAAGAGTATCCTCCAGAGATAGCAACATGACTTTATTAATCTCATAGGTGCTAGGAAAAAGGTGACAATAAAATGCTAAAATGCAGATAGAATACAGCAAATATTGATTTGTCCCTTATTTTATCAACTGGAAAACTCTATTAACTGACTCTTCTAAAATACTGGTGATCGAAATTTGTGACTCTGAAGCACATCAGTACCCAAAAGTACATTGTGAATAATCAAAGAAAGGGTAACCTAGGTTTCATAATCACTAATAAAATAAGAATAATTCACCTCATGGGGCAGCTGAGAAATTATGTTTTGTATGGAAACCTCCCAGCACAGCACCTGGCACCAACACAGCAGGCTTTTGCTCCCTCAGTTAAGTGTGTTGGCAACATTTGAATTGATAGCTCTTTAATTAATATTTTATCAGCATGTCACATTTCTAGGTTAAGCTAGATAACAAAACATTTCCTTAATTGAATATTAACAACGTGTTTAAGTGTTCCCTTCCAACCCTGTCAATCTTTTCCATAAGACTGAGAGATTGAAGAAACCAAATTTAACCTTATTAACCGCCCCTTATGCATCAAAATGTTTCACTGTTTGCCACAGTGAAGCTGAACTTGAAGCACCGCTCATGCTCAGACCCTCCTCAGGCTCTAGGGAGTGGGGGGTCCCTCCCTTCTAGTTTAAATGTATCTTTGTGCCCTTAATCACATGGTTCTATGATGCCAGCATTGCTGTCTGATATGCTTCAAAATCAATGCTTTCTTAAGAATTTTGCCCACATCAGACATTTTAATTATTTGGGGCAGGTATGCTCTTGAAAGTTGTCCTTGTTTATTTGTTTTTAAGTCTTCTTCTTGAACTGCTCTATTACACACACACACACACACACACACACACACACACACACACACACATCCCATTCTTAACACAGCAATTTATAGGTCAACCATGAAGCTGTCCTTACCATAGTTGTAATTGTTTCTGAAATAGGTCTTCTGTGTAGCTCTAATAGGCTTACATTTGCAGCGTTCTGAAAAAAATACAACATTTTATATGTAAGCAAAATTTAAACATTAGCTTTCATTTATTTATTCACATTTGTTTTGTTGATTAAATCCAATTTGGTGTCAAGAAGGTTCTTACTGACTCTATGTGGTGGATCTGTTTCTCTAGAATTACATTCATATTTATTCTATCTACATAGACTTTTTTCAATATCACTAGGCTCGTTAAGTTCCTACTATCTAATAAGCCACCCAAATCCTGAGAAAATAACTTTTCACTGCCATGCATGAGGTGAACCTGACCACTGAATCCTGAAAGAGGATACTTAGTGCTCCTGGAAGTAAAATCAATGCCTACTGAGAGGCAACTTCATTCTTATGTTCAGATAACTGGTTTACTCCTTAGAATACCACCTGCATTCATATACACTTTACAGATGACACAGCTTTCCTCCAAATATTAGTTCCTGGATCTAAAAGCAATTCAATGAGATAAGCAGGTCCTAGTACAACCTAGTGAATTTACTGAAGTTTTTGAGAAGAGAGGCCATGAGCCCATTCATAGACTGAGTAACTGCTATTTAACTCAATGGTATTTTTATGTTTCGTGAATGAAGTTGCTATGTGCATATTTTGAAATGAGAAACTTCATGATTTTTAAATATCTGATGAGTAGTAACCAGAACATAGAAGTTCTAATTATTTCAAAATGTTTTATATATAGGAGAAACCACTTAACAGCTTGGAAAGTAGATTACTATATTGTTAACAGAATACTTAACCAAAAAATTATGTATGTCATATATGCATCATAGCTATGGTGGGCTGTTCATCATTAAAGTCAATGTAAGAATAGGAAATAGTATACAATTATCTTAGAAAACATTTAGTTTGTGTAAAGATTTCTTTAAAATAGTGTCACTGAGAAAACTTTATTTAAAATGAAATGGTATATGTTTCTTCTACTTTGACACAGAAAAAGGAAGAAAGCACACATGAATCAGAGAAAGCAAGCCAACAAAAATATTTTGTTTAAACTGTGTTTCATATTAGCATGGAAACCAATAAAAGGCAGACACTTTTGTTGACCACATGATACTATGTTTTTGAATCAAAATAAATTTTAATTACAGTCAAAGTTATAGACAACATGCTTTAAAGTGGTGGCACCAAAGAGAAGAGCACCCTTACTATCAGTTGTTAAGCTCTAGAAATCCGCAACTCCACTGGGGACAACAACCCAGTGGCAGCAACAACCTCTGTTCTCACCCACAACGGAGGCAAGAATCTTCTTATTGCTACACATAGCATTTCCCCTGTTCTGCAGATAATTTTTCACACACAATTTCTGCAGAATAAATATTTCAAGCCAATAAATAATGGGTAATATCTGAGCTTGTTGCTATTTTAAAGAAGATTCCTCCAATAATAACTTCTATATTAGCAGAACATTTGTATTCCTATTTAAAAGAAAATGGGAAATTATCAGTTCTACTGTATAGTTTTATTTTGTACAGAAATGTTACACATTTTTTTAAAGGAGATAGTCTTGAGGTAAGACTATTTCTGAAGCTTTACAAATCCTCACACATCTATGGATAAGGGCTTGTGTTTTTCTGTCATTTAAAAACAGATATCTATTTATTTAAAAAATGCATGTAGATATATTACAATATATTTGTAATTCCTCAGAAATTTGCATGTTCTCTAATAAAAATTCTTGGCAAAAATATATCATCACTGGATTGAGTCTAATATGATGTCATTATCACATAACTTTGTACAGAGCATGAACAAATGGATTCCATAAAACCTCCCCAGTAGAGATTTTTCAGAAATTTTATCATAAAGTGATTTAGGAAAATTTCAAGTAAGTATTTACATAACTATATATACACAACTACATATACATATCGAGACCAATTCCTAATAGCTAATGAGCTAAGCAATTAATATTCTTGGGACAAAATTTTATTCATCCTCAATGCACTTATTTCTGCTGGCCGCGGCAGCGGCAATGCCATAACGTAGATGTGGCTCTTTCCATGTTCTTACCTGTCGCTATTGCTATAAGCAATGATCTGTCTTGTTGAAGTAACCAGTAGCTCAATGAAATAACAGGGTAATAAGGAGGAGTGGAATTTTATATCTGTAAGGTTCAAATACGGAACTTCCTTTCACTTACTTATGCTAACTAACCCAAACATCCATGAAAAGTGTGTCTCAGATCAACGGGTCCAGAGGATTATCCTTTTAATGTTTATACACACACACACCCCCCCACACATTCCCCGAAAGCCCAAGAACTGGAAAATTGCAAATAATCATAGAGAGATGCACTGTACATATTATTTGTTATTACATTTTTTTGTACCTGAAACCCTAAATCTGATTGTAGCAGCTTTTTTGTTTCCTACCAGCAGTTGATTTCTCAGACTTTTTATTGGGCCACTAGTATTATCATCATTTCTACTTTAATTCACTAACAAATTTGATGAGTCTTCCTCTCCAGCTTCCCAATAGAAAAGACTTACAAATTTTATAGAGACAAAATAAAATCTACTGACTTGCTTGCATTTCACTGTTGAGAAGAAAGGCTTATAAAGAAATTGCCTTTGTGCTCTTCTCTAAGGGAAAAAATATGATAAAGAAGCTGGCAGCAACAAAATAAGAAGTGGCCAAGAGTTCTTCAAAGGTGGGGAAGGTTTTAATATTAGCAACTCATTCACCTCAGAGTCTAGGATTAAACAGAACACTCGGATTGTGGAACAGTGTGCCCTCCTGCATCCCACACGCACCCATGGGCCACGACGAGGAAACTGTCTTGAGCAGCTTTCCCTCACATCCTTTTGGACACTCCCCTGAAATTAAATGATCCCCTGCTTCTCTGCTAATGAAACTGAAGACTGTTTATCACCCTACTAGAAGCATGGGCTTATCGCCCTAGTACAAATATGAGTTTGCAAAATTAACATGCCCAGAGCTCCAAAGACCTTGGTCTGCACTGCAGGGGAGGTGCCTGAGAGGAAAGTGATCACATCCTTTATTTAGTTTTCTGCTCATAAAAATCGGCTCATTTATTGGAAACACATAAAGATAATATTATTTTAAAGGGTCATATGGTTTTACAAGCTCTAAAGAATTATAAGTACCCAAAACAATAATAAAACTTGATTCTCACTGGACCTTCACTATTTAATGCAACCTTGTTTGCATTCAAGCTGAAGTGTGATATGACTTCCAAACTAACCCTGACCTTTGTTTGAATCTGACTTCTCTTGGGTGTCATCCAGAGCTGTAAGACTATAATTAACTTTTTGAGATTTCAAAACTGTTATACCCTTTTGTGTACCCTGACTTCAGAATACCACTATCTATGAAATGAGTATTTAAAGGAAAAGACCTTAGACCTGTGCTCAGGATTTATTGTCAAAAAGTAGGGGGGAAAGAAGAAAATACAGTTCTATTTATGTTACAATTCCCACTGTAATTCTCTTAAGACTGACTCCACTCTGATCAGAATTTAAATAATTTTAATTTGTACCAAATATACTCACTGTATGTTTTATATCCTGGCATTTGACCCTAGAAGCCACTTTTTCCTCTTTGTCTCCATTTTGAGACACATTGGAGCAGACCACAAATTTTAAAAACAGATGTAAAAATAAATTTGTTATGATTCAAAACTCTATATCCTTAACTATGACTTCTTTACTGAGATCCAGATCTATATTTTTAACTGCTTGTAAGCATGCCCTTAAGTAATTTTAAACATACATCAATGTCCTTCACACCATGTCCTATGGAGATAGTCTCTTCTGATGCTACAACCTGGGGATGTCCATGTTCCTCTAAATATGAGAAAGGAAAAAAGAACTAACATTGGTTGAGCCCTTTCAGTCACTTACATGTTAATTCATTCTACAAATATAGTAGAGCATCTGCTATATGCCAAGCTCTGTACTAGGCATGAAGGACACCTGATGGGCACACAATGCAAGATGAGATACAGACATTAAACAAATAATTACACCTAAAATCATTTATTTTCATATGTGATGAATGCTATGAAAGAAAAGTACAACATGCAAAGAGAATATGTAACTTGATGATCTAAACTAGGCTGGTTTTCAAAGTCTTCTGAGAAAAAAAAACTTTAAGCTTAAAACCTGAAAGATGAATTGTAATTTTGTAGGGAAGAACAACATCTTAATGTGTAAGACAGCAAAGAAGTTCATTAAGGAGACTGAGAAGGAGCATCCAATGACAGAAACTGAAAAAGCTGAAAGAAGAGGGTGTTCCAAGAGAAAAGGAAAGCAGTCCTCTGTGTTAAAAGACCCTCCAAGTTCAAATGAGTTAAGAGAGAAAGGGGTCCATAAAATCCAATCATCAAGCAGAGGAGAGGACTCTGAAAAAAGGGGAGACAAGAACTCTGAAAGTCAGAAGGACACTTTACCCAGCCTACAAGGAGAGAAAGGAGAGAGGGGTATAGACATTGACAAGTGCATACATCTGCTCCTGGTATGATGAGAAAACCTCTGATGGCTTTTGCTTCCTCACTGAATGATGAAGTGACGTTATCAGCTGCAGGAAATGAGGGGCCAAGAAAGACATGGTATGGAAGTGTAGGGAAAGAAGAAAGGTAAGAAAGAAGAAAGAAAGGTTATTTTATTAAGCAGAAAGGCAACCTTTTCATAGAATAAAGGTAGGACTGATAGGCACCTTTAATAGTGTGTGTTTTAATTTTATCTTCAACTTAAAGTGAAACCCGTCACCCCAATTGAGTTATTTTCTCTGGCAAGTAGGGTTGGGACTTTGCCAGGTGAATATGGCAGAACAAAAGAAAAGCAAGGGAATTGAGGGTATTTTCAAGAGAATGATTATTACAGTACACCACGAAATATCGGGCAGACAAGGAAATTAGTGCTAAACAGATAAATAGGCAGTCTCCACGATTTTGAGCAACTCCGCTGGAATGAAAAGAAATGGTAGGCAAAGAGTAGGATACCTGAAACGAACATTCGAG